AATGCCAATCTTGGAGCTGGAGACATGGTATTTACTTTCCATAATGTAATTGCTATGACTCTGTGCTAGTTGAAGCTAGTATGCATTAGCTTTAGTCTTTCAAGAATATAAATGGATGCTGGGCCTTCAAACCATAAAATTGACCATATTGAAGTCAGCAGTGTAAATATTTGAATTATTGTTTATGCCTGGTTTTGGAGATGTGTCAACTTTCTTGGGCTGGTAGATGTAAAAATGCAAAAAGAAAAAAGCTACAGCCTGATCAAAATGCTGCTGAAGTCTCATAAAATATTTCCTTTTTATTTGGGATGATATGCATTTAGGTTATTCTCATGGAAAATCTCAGTCAAGACAGTCAGTGAAATAGTCAAATTTATTTATGTTTGTGATTTTCAACTATAAAGGTGTCTGTTAGTTTCAACAATGTTTGAAAACAATTTGATTGGTTCAACCCTTCTAGACTCCCTCAAAGATCAAGTATTGTTTGTTATATTTTACATATATTAGTTTTCCAAAAGATAGTGGAGATTATCAGAAGTGTGTATTTATACATGAATTAATCCCAAACAGATTTAAAATCAGCTCATACATGAAAGCTGTGAACAAATATTACATATATATATATATATATATATGGTGTGTGTATATATATATAATTTTTTTTGGGTTCTTTCCTACAAAAAAATTAATGTAAAAAAAGAGATAATACTTCTAGAAATGACAAAGTTCCAAACTGATATACATAAGGGCATTTTCTACTTTGGAGGATGACCACAATAATTTAAACAATAGCAGACCTTTATTGATGCTTGCTTATCAAGGGATGGTGTTTTCTCAGGCATGCTTTTTAAATACACCATTCTGTAAGAAAGTTTCCTGAAGTTAACTTTATAGGTGTGATTTAAGTTACCCCTACCATTTTTTTCCTTACTTATTTTCATCTGGAAAGTAGTGAATTGTATACCCCTGTCAAACAAATAAATGTTTAGCTCGTTCCTAGAAAACCATTCTTAATCCAGAGGGAAGCAATTGGCTTCTTAATGATACTGTTTCTTGGGTTTTTTTGTATTTTGCAAGTTTTTAAATAGAACTTAGAAACTCTGGGTGAAGTCCTGGCTGTGGTTAAATAATTAGAGATTTAAGTACTAATCTGAAAACTTTATCCTTTAAGTCATGAAACAAGAAAATCACACAGTGAATGTGTTTTCTCACTTACAGCCCTTGCTCTAGTCTTGCCATATGTGCCTGCCTTGCAGGTGTAGTAGTAAAATCTGTTTTCCATGCAAAACTTGTGTTTCTTCACTTTATATGTCTGGTATATGAAAGCAGGCATGGACTTTAAAGCATTTACTAAACAATCTGTATTATACTATATTCTCAAGTAATAAGACTTCTCTGTATCTGCCAACTATAGGAAATTTTCAATTCATTTTGGCAGATTTTATCTTTTTTAAGGTAAAATAGTTTGTGCTTCAACTTCAGTCTTTGCTAAATGCAACTGAAACAAATAATTTGAAATTTTTTCTTTTAAGTTATTACATTGTTTTAACTTGAAAGCACTTCCTGACTTCTGTTACTGTGGCCTCTGCTTAAAGGAAAAAAAGTTACAAGAAGAAATCTGCATCACACCACTATGATATAATCTAGAAATTGTTAATGCACTAAGCAAGGCAAGCAGTAGGAGAAAGAAAGTTTTACACTGCTGTTTTAAAGAAATATAGATCCTTTTGGATTAATATTGACTGAAAATTTTATAGAAGTACAATTTCTGCTGTCCTATATATAGAGTGCTGTAGTACAGCTGTGACAGATAATAGATCACGTTCCATGGCAGGACAAAGAAGATGCTCTATTTATGATTATGAGTCTGTAAAAGACAAAGCCAGCATGCCTGTTGAAACTTTGCTGTGATAAATCCTTGAGCAAAGAGACCTTTTTTCCTCTACCTTTATTTTATATAAAGCAATTAATTCACTTCAAGTTTGAGACTGTTTCTGAGTAGCTTTAATTTTTATTTTTTTTAAACTTTGTTAATTTAAATTTCAGCCCTGAGATTTCATTTTGAATTATCTTGGTTTTTGTTCATTTGTTGGGTTGGATTTTTTTTTTATGGTCTAGGAAGTACATTTGTTTTGAGTTGGAAAGGATAATTTTGAACATTCTCAATGATGGTGAATTTTGAGGTACTTTGTGGAATTTATTTAAAGCTCTTTTGTGCACAGCTGGACAGACTGTCCCAAGAGCTTGTGTTGGTTTTGGCTGGGATAGAGTTAATTTTGTTCATGGTAGCTGGTGTGGGCTATGTTTTGTATTTGTTTTTGAAACAGTGTTGATAACAGGGCCATGTTTTTGTTTCTGCTGAGCAGGGCTCGCACAGAGCCAAGGCCTTTTGGCTTCTCACACCATCCCACCAGAGAGTGGGCTGAGGGAGAATGAAACTGGGAGGTGACACTGCTGGGACAGCTGCCCCCAACTGGCCCAAATGATATTCCAGACCGTATGACATCATCCTCAGTTTATAAGTCTGGGCAAAGAAAGAAGAAGAGGAGGAAAGTTCAGAGTTAAAGCACGTGGATTCCCTTCCGTCATTACCATGATGGAGCCTGGCTTTCCTGGGGGAGGCTGAACACCTGCCTGTCCTTGAGAAGTGGTGAATGAATTCCTTGTTTATCTTTGCTTGCCCGTGTGGCTTTTGATTTCCCTATTAAACTATCTCTATCTCAATCCATGAGTTTTATTTTACCCTTCTGATTTTGCCTCTTCTGTCCCACTGAGTGGGACTACTACCAGCTTCTTGAGGTGCCTCTCCTTAGGCAGCACTGAGTTTGTAGGCAGACTTACTGGCAATTGTCCAGACACCAAGCATAGTCCTTTCAATCTAGTGTTAGAGGATGCGCATGGGGAAGCCTTTGCTTTCTATTGTAGCTGAGCTTGCTGCCACAAAACTTGAATATCTCATGCTGTTTTGCAACAACAGGATAGATGGCCAAAATAGCTGTTGGAAGAGAACTCTGCGTATCTTTAAAATCATAGGATCTCTTAGTTTGAAAGGGACTTTCTGAAGTCATCTCATCCAATAACTTGCTCAGGTTTGATAAAACCAGATTGCTTGGAGATATCTTACAATTTAGTGCATTGTTGTGGGGCAGCATAAGCTTTTAGACACCACAGTCCTTACAAAGATGTGTGGAGTTTGGGATTCTTTTTCTTCTACCTGTGACTTGGTGCTAGTGTGCAGCATGCAGCTGTTTGTCAAGGAGTTTGTGTGCTGAGAACACCTTTCTCTTAACTAGTTTTTTTCAGGGAAGGAGGAGGAGTCTAGTTTTGTCTGCATCAGTTTGTTTTTCGCACCACTTGATCTGTGAATATGGGGAAGAGCGATGGGGATGAGTGAAGGAGAAGAGTACAGGCAAGGCAGTGGCATCCACAGGACTTCACCCCAGTTTCCTAGTACCTGAGTGGAATACAGTCCCAGTGATGTTTGTGGAGGCAGAACTGGCTGCCAGAATTTCCCAAACAAAATCATTGTTAACTTGGCTTAATTATAGTCTGTGTTCTTTCAAATGCAGCAAGTTGACTTTCAAGAAGGTCTAAATACAAGCTAAATTACAAAGCAGTATAATTAGTATTGGAAAAGTAACAAGAAAATCTTTCAGCTCATGGTAATTCTTCAGGGCTTTGAAAGTTGTTTAGTATCTTGGTTTTAGAATAAGCTCTGCAACTTCTAAGATAAATCAGCTCTCCAAACTGGAGTTCAGAATGCAAAAGTGTCGTTTAAAAGTTTTCTAGTATGTATCTAAATGTACAGGCGTACATTTTGTAACTCTTACAATTCTGTCCCCTAGATGCATGTTTGCTCCTCTTGCTGTGCATGTTAGAAGTGAGTTTGGTTTCTTCCACCAGTGACTTTGACTGTGTAGCTTTAATTTTACAACAGGTTAAGCTTTTTAAGATATAGGTAGCTCTTCTGTCTGGAGCAGTGGTGTATTTTGTGAATTTTGGATGCTTTACCATTCATCGTTCTGGCAATACTCTGCCCTTTCAAGAATGTCTTAGGGTGTCATTTTGTGACACCTCAAGGATGTGAGTTACACAAATAACCCAGAGTTAAAGATGTCCTTGTCATGGTTTACATATTGCATATTGCTGTCAGGTGTCAAAAGTGTTGTCATAAGCTGAAAGTAGTCCTCCTCTTTTTTTTTCCTTAAAAACAAAACAAAGAAAGGAACAAAAACAAACAAACCAACAAAACCCAATAAAACAAAGCAAAGAACCCCAAACAAACAAAACACAAAAATCCCCCACAAAAACAAAGCAAAAAATAAAAAAATCCACCAAAAAAACTGCAAACCAGCTTTGAGTTAGGAAAGAAATTAAAAATGGGGAAGTGTAGATGTATTGTTATCCTCCCATACTATCAAATACTCATTTGTGGCCTTAGGAGGTGTTCATTGGTCTAAAAAATATCAAAGTGGGTGCATTTCAAATATGTGTCCTTGGTAGAAAGGAGGTAACTGTGGTAGATTAAGGTGCCTTTCAGGGTAAGGGTCTTGAAGTGCTTAAATTTAGTCTGTTAAAACTTGCTGTTGTAAAATAAACACAGACACGGATGTACATATCTTGAAGTACAAGGTTGAGGGATATATAGGGGAGGACCTGGATATTTGCTGTAGGAGAAAGCTCTTAATGTCGTGTGTTGAGCTCAAGTAATTTAATCACTTGCAAAATTACTCAATCCAAAAGACGTGTGAAATATCTTGAACCTCTTCACTGCCCACTATTTTTATACCAGGGGTCTTTTGAAACCTGTTGGAAGCACTCTATCAGAGTATTGTTTGGGTGGAAAGCTCTGATAATTTATAGTCCTCCTTGTGAAAATACAGGAAAATCACTCCCGAAATATTTGTCTTTTTTTTTTTTTTTTTTTTTTTTTTTAGTTTTTAAGTTGACAAAGTCACTGCAAACCCCCTTAAACTGTGAACATGTCCTCTTCTTTTCAGGTGAGAGCTATGTGTGTGCATCCAATGAACCATACCGCAAAGTTGATTACACCAAGAATGTCAACCCGAACTGGTGCGTGAATATACGGACTGGGTCCAGTCGGTCCTTGACGTCCTTGACATCCACGAGGAGTGAAGTGAAGGAGAGCAAAGATTTCATTAAACCCAAATTGGTGACTGTTATTAGGAGTGGGGTAAAGCCACGGAAAGCTGTGAGGATTCTGCTGAACAAGAAGACTGCTCACTCCTTCGAACAGGTCTTGAATGACATCACTGAAGCCATTAAGTTAGACTCGGGTGTAGTCAAGAGACTTTGTACACTGGATGGGAAGCAGGTAGGAGAATAAACTGCTGTGGCCATCTAATAATCTGAGATGCTCAGTTTTCATTAGTTCAGTTCTCATTATTGTGTGTGCTTTCATCTGCTTCTGAATAATGACAGTTAAAAACAATCAACTTTTAAAAGCTTTATTAAAATATTAATACACACAACAAAATTAGAATTGTATATAGTGTAATATAAGTGGATCTTTACATTCAAGTAAAACAAATTATTTTTATGCCAGCCTTTTTGTATTGCTCAGAAATGTGACTGTTTATTGAGTAATACAATTTGAAACATTTGAACTTGTTAAGATATCTATGTGTTTTCAGACTACCACATAGTGGCTGAGTGGTATAAGAAAAATATCAATGTCTCCTTCCATTGCACTTCCACAGATTGCTGTTTCCAGAGGTGGTAACTGACATAAGCTGAGTTCAAGAATTGTATCTGAAATGAATCATTCTGGGAGGGTGGTCACATCTTTGCAACTTGCTTTTTTTTGGCTTTAGTTTTATGTCTGCAAAAAGAAAGCTAGGGTTAATGATGTGGTAGGTGTGTATTCTTGCAGAGAAATAAAAGGAATGGCTCACAGGATGTTTAAAGTGTCAGGAACACACTTGGTGTTGATCAGTCACATTAATGACTCAGCCCTTCATAGTACAGGACTTTGATACCTGATACTTTTATTTGACACTGCTGTGGAACTCTGACAGAATTGTGACTTCAGTAATAGAGTGACACAGGCACACTGGTGTCAGGTACCCAGACTCTTGTACTGTTATACACCTGCATGTCTATACATCTGCATGAAGTAATTGTAAAAGTTTCAGTTGTGTTCAGAGATGTGGGCATTTTTATTTTCAATATTTCTATGATGTTTAATGCCAAAAAACCATTTTTTTGTGGTGCAAGCTTCTAGCAAATGCATTGCAGAACAAGTGCACATAGTTTGCCTCAGTATGAGCTCTGTCTCTGGTTATGTTCTGTGTGCTTCGATACACTTCTTGTAAGCAAATATGTGAAAAGAACAACCTCTGTGTTTTGATGGAAATGTAGCAAGGCAAAGGCATCACTGAAACTCTTGCTTGTCAGTGTTTGGTGGCAGCACAATGATGTGCTCTTTAGTTCTTCTAATAGGTTTGATTTTAAATGAGATTTGATAATGCTGCATCTTAACAGAGAATCCTTCCTAGGAACATCCAAACAATGTTTGTCATGTTTAATTTAATTCATAATAAAATAGCTTTGAGGATATTTATTATGCAGTAATGAGTCTCTTCTGCCCGTGAAGTGTTCTGACACTGTCTCAAGATTTTGGTATTCTCAAGCAAGCAGGGAGTCATTAAGGGAAACTGCAAAAGCTAGTATTGTCAGTTCACCTTCACCTCTTCTTGCACTGCTAAAACAGCAGAAACCCACTGATCTGCATTGGTATGGAAAATGCAGTAGTGCATCAGGGATCAATAAAAGTAGTTAGCATTAAATATCACATACATTGCTTGCATGTTGGCATCACCCATGGTGGATGATGACTGTCTTCAGTCCATGGTGAGGATGACCAACTATTGGTAATGTTCCAGAATAGGATTATTTTTTTTTCTGCAGGACCTCCTCCTCCCCCTCTGTGGTAAAGGCAGTCAGTGAACTTGGACTGCAGCTGTAGGAGTGTTCTCAGGCGGGATTGAGAAATCCCTAATTCTGACTGTGAACAGTTTATGGAGCTCTGCTGCATGCAGCTGCCTCTCTGTGTAAACTGTTCCAGCAGCAACAGCGTGTAAATGTGGAGACCTCCCTTCCATTGGGAAGACAGGCCTTGTGCTTTTCCAAAGACTTTGGGAAGGAGCCTTTGTTGCACAACCACAGTGTAACTGTGGTTTAAGAGCTTGTGAGATGGAGTGCCCCAAAGAGAAGACCTATGACTCCAAACACCCTGACAAAAAAATAAAAGCCTTCTACTGCTTACCTAGGAGGATCGAGGGTTCTTGTTTTATTTTTTGTTTCTTTCTCTTTCCCCAAAGTGAAGGGCTGAGCCCAGTTTGAGGCAGTAGGGATGTTTTTAAATTTGTTTGTTCACGGCCGGTATATGTAGAGGTTGGCGCCGAAGGGCGTTTTGGGGTTTGGCATATAAAGAGTTGCTTTGCTGCCAACTACCAATTGGTGGAAATTTCTGAGCCTATTTTCTCTAATGTAGTAATTGCTTATTCTTCTAAATCTGCTAGGGAGGCAGATCTTTTATGTTCGTTGTGGTGTTGGCACAGCTTGAAAGGCAACCATTAAAAAAAAGGCGTTTTGTAAATGGCTATGTTCCTATAAATGTAGCCCTTGTGTTTCTCATGGTTCTAATTTTTTTTCCTTGCTCCTTCATATTTTTATCTCTGTGGAAATACTTCTTTTTTTTTCTTTTCCCCCTGAGTGAATAGGCTTAGGTTGTATTTTCTGTTTAATATGAAAACGGTTGTGAAATTCAGATGATCAAAACATGCATGTATAAAATTTGTATCCTTTGCTTAGGGAATGCATTGTTCTGCTAACTTGTGGTGTGATTTTTTTATTCCAGTAGAACCATTTAATGTGTAGGAAGAAGTGGTGATAAAACCAGTGATCTTTCTGACCAGTAGAAGAGAGAGGATGTTTTCAAAAGAGTTTTTATTTGCTCTTCTGACTTCATTAATCTTGGCTGTTGCAAAATCTTGATGATAATAGTAAAACAGAGAATAACACCTGAGTTGGATATTTTCCTTGGTTGTTCTGTGAGAAAATAGACAAGTATCTGGTTTTGAATTGTAAGATTTTGTAATGTTTGCAAGGTTTCCTTTTATCTTCAGTTTCAAAATGAATGCTGCAACTTAACATGTTAGTGCTTTGTAGCCTGAAGTACAGATCTATTATTGAACTATTTTGATGTTGGGCTTAATTCTAACTTTTAAGCTATCAAGCAACCAACTTTTTTTTAACCTCCCAAGATTGTTGAGAAGATGTTTAAGTGAGAAAAATATTTCTGTAAAAGTAACTAGGCTTTAACTTTGCAGTGCAGGCTTCTGCTGTTCCAGTCTTTGTGCCTCTGACACTGGGGTTTGCCTAATATATTTGCTTGACCAAAGTGTTTTCCGTACTTGGCTGCATTTTCCTGGAATCTGTCACTATCCTACTGTGAAGCAAGGACTGTCAGACTGAAACTTCTCCAGTTGGGAAGTTAACCCTTTGTTATCTCTGAAGAGAATGGAGGGTTTCTTTCTTGCTAAACAAGCTTTGAGCTTCAGTCATTGCGAATTGTGGGGCGGTGACTGTGTGGTAAGTTGTAGGGAGAGATTCTCTGTGAGAAGCTCACAAAAAAACATGCACAACTCTGAAACTTGTGTTATTTGACACACAAAAGAAAACTAAATCTTCACACTTTTTAAGCCTGCAGTGTGTTGCAGTTTCATGGATTAATGTCCATAACAGGATTGAAAACGTGGATGAGACACCTTTTCTATACTCTGTTGTCAAAACAGTGAGAATGCACCAAAAATTAGCCTTATCTAGGAGGTCTATTTTCATGGGTATACTGGGGGCTATCTCTGGAACCAAAAGTTCTCCAATTTTCTGTTAATGAAGTTTTTTTATGAAGTGATCATTAAAAGTCAATTGGTAACTGAAGAAAACAGTTACTACATGTGGATGGATTTATCACTCATTGTGCTCTCCTCTCAGTGATTTTTTTTATTCTCTAGTGACAGAGTTGAAAACTCTTAGTAGAGAAGGTAGCTTTTGAAAACTGAATTTTGTATTTGCTTTGCTGTTAACATACCCATCAGAGGGCAGAAACCAAAATAAGGGATGAGCAGGAGAGATTTTGTTTATTAGTGTAGCAGATTTTCCCAATATTCTTGGTAGGCTTTTGTCATTCAGATCTCAAAAATTTCTATTAATACAGTATTTTTGCTACAATCTTAATCTCAGTAGAGATCTTACTGTTTAGTACTGAGAGAAGTTTTAGAACATATGAATTTTATTTTTCTTAGTTTTTCTGTTTTGTTGGCGAAGTCCTACTTGTAAGAGATGATTTTTTTAAAAAATAATTTTATTACAGTGAGGTACTTTTTGGCAAATATTTCCCTTTAGTTCAATTCTCTCCTACCAAAGGAGGATGTTCCTTAGCCAGGCTCTAGACATGTACTTTTTGTGGTTTTGTTATTTAATTGTGCTGTTACATCACTGATGTCTCATTGCAGGCTAAGAAACCACTGTAATAGAAACTTGCTTCAATATCAACAGGCATCAATGTCAACAGGCATGCTTTCTAGTTGAAAGCTACCAAAGTAAATCAAGTTTTTATCTTGCATCTCAGACTCTAACCTAATACAGACACTGTACAAATGTATTGGAAATGGCACAGGTTTGAATTTTTGCTACAAGCAATTTTGCATGAAAAGAAATCTCCAGCTTTTTCTTTTTCCAGTTCTAGTTCTGCTAAAATTTAAAATACCATTTTAAGCTGAAATGTTGCATTAATCTGCAAATACGAGGGGAAGAAATCCTTAAGCCCTCACATAGTCACAACTCTTTATAAGGCTTATATATTGTTGCTGTGGAATGTCAGTGGCAGCTGCAGAGAGTGATTCTCTGCATTGCAGATCCCACAGAAGAAATTTGTGGGCAAGGAGTCTTTCCTCAGCTAACTTCAAGATTTTGAATAGTAACGATAGTCCCTGAATTCATCCTAAAGGCTGAGGGTCACAAGTGGTAGAGTCAACTTATAGAAAGGGATTTACAATTTGCCAAGCTGCAGCAGAGTGATTGGGGATTTGACACTGTGGATTTGACATTGTGGATTGAACTATGCAAAGAGGAGATATGTTGGATAGAAAGGCTTTTCAGAATTCATGGTTCATATCTACATGAAAAAGCACATGAATCTGCCAATTTTGTGGGAACTTGCACAAGTGGTAGTTACATACATTGTGGGACAGAGGGGGACATACAGTTTTTACAATTACCAAAGTTCAGTAAGGGTGTGTGCAGACAGTA